AATTTCTTCATTAAATATCACGCAACAAAACCTTATCATTACCAAATCATTTCAGTACTTCTTTGAGATGCAGACTACATTTTAATGTGATTCTAAATTTGGATACTGATTAAAAAAAAAAAGATTTTTTTCTAATGCACTTTACTTATCACAAAAACATATGCCTATTACATCATTGTTTGGTCTAGGACCTAAGTGATGGATTTCATAGTGACTTTAAGAATGCATTGTAAAGAGTTACAATAAGTTGAAAACCTAATTATAAAGATTTAAATTATTCTTGAAAACAGAGATGGCAACATTGTATTATCTTATCAAGAAACTATGATGAGAACTAGGTTGAGAAGAAAAGCCTTTGCAAATAGCTGTTCTAGTTTCCATATGCTCAAACTTATTTTCATTAAAATATATACAACAAATGGGGACTTCTCTGGTGGTCCAGTGGCTAACACTCTGAGCTCCCAGTGCAGGGGGCCCGGGTTCCATCCCTGGTCAGGGAGGTAGATCCGACATGCTACAACTAAGACCCAGAGCAGCCAAATAAATAAATAAAATTAAACAAATACATATATATATATATATACACAACAAATAAAGGTCTTTTTAAAATAAAAAAGATAAGTTGAGTTAAAAAAAAAAACCACCATATTGATTAGAGAACCAAATAATGAACAATGTTAGTAACAGTTAATATATATGATCAAAAAAATAAAAAATTCCAGGTCAAACATTTCCTGTTACATAATTGTAGATGATCAAATATTTTCAAAGCCGAAACAAAACAATTTTGTGTTTAAAAAATACTAAAATGACATATTTCAATTATTATTTTATGCTGTATCATTAAGATAACTTTAATGTGTTCCAATATGAAATATTATAAGTTTTATATAATTATATTTTTGACTCACTTTCTGAAATGCAAAGAGGGCATTTGTGAGTTTGTTTCCTGACTCTTAAAAGCATTTTGCAAGTTTTGCCATACTAAAATACAATGAACTATGACATGAGTAATCAAAGTCATATTCTCAGAGGCACTAAAAATTCAATTTAGACTTCTGTGAATTGCTATTTGGTTATCTTTGAGGGTTTAGATTCAATCAAAGTGGAGTTGCCTCTACTATTAACCACTGCCTTACTATTGTTCTCATCTGATGCATACTGCTTTACTAAGAACTGCCCACTTTATATTTATACACTTTATATTTAAAACAAAGAGTTGTGATTTTAGGTTACTTTTAATTTTAGAATTTTTCAATAAATTTAAAGAAGTTTCATCTGTATTGTTGACAGAGGTTTGAATATATAGAAAAGGGATGAGAATTTATGATAAAAAATATTATAAGAAGTCATAGGCAGCTTTCTGTAAAGAGAGTGTTCTTATACTTACACTTCCTGGTTCGACAGACACATTTATAGAAGATCTATAGGATATGATTGTAGAAAATCCTCAAGGTGTGGAGATTACCCAATAGTTATGAGAATAATATATGGAAAGAAAGATTAACTTGGTGAGTTTTGTAAAACTCAGTGGAGCAATGATTATGAGGGGTATCTTTTTTAACTTGCTTACTTTTGAGTATTATAATGGTAAAAAAAAAAGGTATAACCTTTTATACACAGTCAGACATATATAAATATTTTAGGTGCACAGAAAGAGTCAAGTTACCAGTTATTTTAGTAGATATTTAAAGATGGGTTTTCCCTGGTGGCTCAGTGGTAAAGAATCTACCTGCCAATGCAGGAGACATGGGTTCGATACTTGGGTCAGGAAGACCCCCTGGAAAAGGAAACAGTACCTGACTCCAGGATTCTTGCCTGGGAAATCTCACGAACAAAAGAACTTGGAGGGCTACAGTTCATGGGGTAGCAAAGAGTCAGACACCACTTAGCAAGGAAGCAATAACAACAATTACAAAATGATATATATTTAATAATGTGTGTGATTATATACTTCTAAATAATATCATTAAGCACAGCACACCAGAATCACATTTATAATACAGATGAAACTCCAAAACTTTGGAGACTGCATCTCTACATTTTAGATAGGGTTCGTCCCTCTTGGACCAAGATTTACTCAGCCTGGAGAGAACCGGGAGAAGAGTTAAAAGCTTACTGGCTTTGGCAAGTGCTTTCATATGTTTCTGCTTTCATGGAAAATGAGTTTTGATTTCTTTTCAGCCTATATGCATGGCAAAGTTAAGATGAAAAACAAAGCTAGGAACTTTGAACGAGCTCTAGTTTGGGTATTTATATATTGCTTTGGTTTGCTCTAGAGCTTTAAAAGATTTATTTTCAAGAGTAGGGAAAACTAGTTTCAGCACTAAGCATCACTGAGCAGTGACAATGAAGAAAAGGGAACACAGTTTAGGATGAAATCTAGCTAATTTTATTTCTATTTCTGTGTTAGAAACTAGACCAGTTTCACCTGTTTTTTGCTTAATTTTGGAACTCTCACAGAGCTCTCTCATCACAGGCAAAAATAATGAATACAATCTAGTCTCATTGGTCTCTACAGAGTGTAGCTCAAACTTCACATAAGTTTTGCCCCACTATCAAGATCTGGATCTTCTCCCTGTTCCACCCCAGTCTTCCTCTGTGTCCCCTTTTAGAATTGGCTTACCTATATCCAATTTTGTTGGAGTTGGGCGTTGAACAGGTTACTCCTAGTGTTATGCTGGCTTAGACTAACCACAATATTTTGCAACCCTGCCCATTTTCATACTTTTTCAGATTCTTTAAATTGGTACCTATACTATTGGTATTCACACTTGTATTTTGACATGTACCTCATCACTTTGCTCTAAAGAAAGATGCCTGGATGGTAAATAGCTTTAAAAGTTAGTGTAATTTCTGTATCAGAAATATGTGAACCCATTGAATAAAATAATCTTTAGTTTCTTAAAGATGTTTAAATTAAAAACACAAGTTTCTACAGTTGGAAGAAACATGTATGGTTAAAATGTTTGAAGCCCATCAATCTCTCAAACCACATAAACTAATGAGTTCCTTCTGTTTTCTTTGAATGAAATCACCATGAGTGGTTAGATGTTGATTTAACATAAAACAAATGGAAATGGGTGTTTCCTTTGTCCTTTGTAGAATTTATTTTTAAAAACAATTAGCAAGTATTATGAATAAGTCAATGATTTTGCCATTACTTAAAGAATAATATAGATTGAAGAGTTAAATTGATTGGATTGCAGGGAATGCATAACATACTCCAACTCTCCTTAGCTTGCTAACATCTGCAGACATTATTAAGCTTCTCATTTCATTTTTTTTCCCTACCACAACACCTGTATTGTTATAAATTATGTTTTGAATTGTCATGAAGTGTCAGGCAAATTACGTTGTCTGGATATGTGTGTGTCATTTAAGTGTTCCTTTGTAATGCAGGTTTGTGGCTAACAGCTTAATCTTGAATATATCAATGCAATTAAAAAGCTCTGTTTCAATCCTTTGTGAATACAGAGAACGATGAAGCATTATTATGTGTGAAGTGTAAGGAAAGAATTAAAAATTCCTTAATATTTAAAACATTACCTCCTAGAGAATGAATACATTTAGATATAATTTTAAAAACACCAAGCTTATTATATTCTTAGGAAAAAAAGCACTGAACCCTTTGAACTCTATAAAATACATATCCTATTGAATTAAAATTAAAAAGCTGTATGAGGCATTCCCCACTCCCTATAGTTTTAACCCACTTCTGACAATGTCTTCCCCCTCCCATGCATCCTCCTTTTTTTATAGTCTCTTCAGGAACAGTGGAGAGTGACTCACTTATGTCCTGAACACCAAAGTACGTCAGACCTAAGAAATGTAGACAGTGAGTTCTTCCTGAGATTCTTTCTGAGAGAGTTAAATAAATAAGTAAATGGGCAAACATATGGGCAGCTTAAATCAGGCAACATTTTCTACTGATTACTTACTAAACTTACTAAATAAAAACTTCAGTCCAAGTTTTGCGTCCCCAAAGAAAATAGGATTAGACTGATCTATGCACTCACTGGGAATCATGCCTGGATAAATGAAAAATCTTCAAAGATGAACAAAAGAAAGGGCTAAAATTTTTCAGTAAATGCAAATCTTAATCTGTTTGAAATATTTTGGTTTATAATCGTGAATAAAATAATTTTAAGTTCTAAAAGGAGACCATGATATAAATGACCTCTGAGGTCTGAGAGTTCTGTAACTTTACCTTCTTTTTGACGAAATTCTGACAGACGTAAAAAGGAAATAAGGTTTCACACTAGTTCTGCATAACTGTGTTTTGTTCCTAGCCTTGTTTATATCCTGCATCAATAATATTTGAATTGTGTTATGCAAATGGAAGTGTTTATGTAGTTTAAAGCACCAGTGCTCAAAGTGGCTCCTCTTATCTTTAATATTGGTGAGAATATTAAAACAGCAATACATTGAGTAGAAAAAAAACTGATCATCAAGGATTCTTGTTTGAATCTGAGAAAATTAAAATGGAATCAACCAACAGAGCATGTTTCAGTTATTTTACACATATGTACTTTTAACTTGATTTTTTACAAGTTGAGAGAAACTTGACCAATAGTTGTATTTACTTTAGTACAACAAACATCTGGCTTTGTGACAAAATAGAGGTATTTAGAGTCTTCATGTCTTTCGGAAAATCTGCTGTTGACATTTTAATAACACTGTTATTTGAAATGATTTCTGAAGTATGATGACTGCAGCATACCCACAGCAACAAACAGTATATATTGTTTCTGAAAGCAAAGACTCTCAAGTTTCATTCTATTTTCTAGAGGTTTTTAAATCTTGGAATATCAGTTTTTCCTGAAAACCAGTGCAAACATACTTCTTTAATTGATGTCTGCATTCATTAGCATAAACAGTGATTTCGAAATACATCTGAAAATGTAGTCACTTTCAGTTCAGAAATTTTGTAATTAAAAAAAAAACCCAGGCTTGTTTTTATTCGTAAGCAAAGGACACAACTAGGTTTCAAACATTTTTCAAGCACGATTTTCTCCGTCGTGGTCTCTTCTCTTCAGGTTGGGTCCATCGTAGGCGTTGCCTGGCTGTTTGCTGACACTACCAACAGAGAGGTGCAAGGAAGTGTGGTCAGAGGACAAGAGCAAACGCAGTTTCAATGTAAGGAAATGAGGGAAACAGACCTAAATAGCGCGACGAGTGCACTTGCGAGAAAAGAGCCCTGTAGTCTCCTTTCCTTCCTTTGCTTATCCTGGTGGCTTTAATCAAAAACAAACAAAACGCTCTTGTGAAATACAGTCAATAAAGTCAAAGTTTGGCTAGCTCTCTGTAACTACAAAGAAAAAGTCATCGCAATTAAAAAAAAAATGTAACTTTCATTAACAAGCCCGCCGGAAATCTCAGGTATCAAAGACGCATTAACCCTGGAGCGTCCCCCGCGCGCCGCAGCCGGACGGAGGCAGGCGAGGCGAACAGACGTTCTTTCTCCTCCGAACAGTCACACAAAAGGAGGGCCGCGGAAACTAAAAGTTTCGGGGCCTCCGACTCGCTGCGCGGAGAAAAGAGAAAACCTGGAGACGGGGTGGGTAAAAGACGCATCCTGGGCGCCTCTCAGAAGTGCAGGCAAGAAAAGATCTCCCGAGCCTGGAGGGAAGAGGGGAGGGGACCCCCGAGCCTCGGAGGCCGGAGCTTCGCGGTCTCCCAAATACCTTTCACCCCGTTCCAGAAATAAAATAAATGTTTTTAAAGTGCGTGTGTGTAGACAGGATGGACAGCGCGCGCCGGAGGAGCGCGCGGAGGATCGAGCGCGCAGTGAGTGGAGTTTGGGGAGGTGGGGGATCGGCAGGGAATGGGTGTGTGGATGCGGAGGGGCGGTGGGGGGCGGACTGAATGCGGAGCTCCGGGACCGAGGGGAGGGCGAGTCGACGGGGAGGGGAAGGGAGGGGCGCTAGCCACCCCTGGCCGCCTCCGGGGCGCGTTCCGCGTCCGTGCGCGCGCGTCCCTCGCCGCCGCCGCCGCCCGGAGAGCCCTGCGGCCGCCGGGCCGGCGGAGCCGGGGCCGGCCAGTTCTCGGGCGGCTGCTGGGCCGCCGCCGCCGCCACCCGAACCTCTCGAGCCCGTAAGTGTCCCCTTTCGCTCCCCTCCCCCTTGCTCGGGTGCACCGTCGCCGCAGCTGCTCAAATGGAGTGGAAAATGGCTATTGGGCGGCAATGAGTTATAGATTATCTGCTCCACGTTTTGTACTTAGCAGCCTGTAATCTTCTTTTGAGTTTGCCTGAGCCCCTTGCTGGAAAAATCAGGAGGGAGAGATTTATCCTTTGTCGCTGTACACGCTAATATGTTTATATGATTAGCCGAACTCGCGGGGGTGGGGAGGTGGGGATTTGGGGCGGAGGAGGAGGAGGCCGAGGAGGAGGAGGAGGCTGGAGGTGACTCCAGTTCAGACCTCGCGGAGAGTCTGTGTCAGGACTTCGCGCTCCCCCGTCTCGCTGCCTCTCGCTCCCTCTCTCTCCCTCTCACTCTCTCTCCCCTCACACACACACACGCAGAGGTACCGAAGCGAAATCGGGAGCTTACCGGAGAATTCTTCGGGATCGTCGGAGTCGGGGGGCGGGGGGGAACCTCCCCTCCGTTGCTGGCGTGACTCGTCCCTACACCTCCCCGCTTCCCCAAGCCCCAGTCCTCGCCTTCAGCCAGTCTTAGGGGGGGGGCAGCGGTCACCGTTCCACCTCGGCCCAGGGACCCGAAATGTGAGGAGGGGCCGCTGCCGTCTCCCTCCCCAGGCCGCAGGGTCGGCTCGAGGGATGCCAGCCCGGCCGGCGCGGACGGCGGGCTGAGTGGCTTCGCCTGACGAACTGAGTTGGCCTCGCGCCGCCGGCGTCTGCTCGCCCCTCCCGCGTCTGCCTCTCTGAGGGGACACTCAAGTCTGCGCACCTCTGTCGGGTTCCTTCCTCCGTCACCCCTTTCCCCCCGCTTCCCGAATTTCTGATCTTTCTGAAGGAGCGTGCGGTCTGGGGGCGCGCGCGCGCGTGTGCCAAAGACGCCTCTCGTGGAGCGGTGTGTGGGAAACTGCAGGAAAATGTTGACCTAACCCCAGGAGCCGCCCGGCGCTGGCTGCTTGGCTGGAGGAGGAGGAGGCGGCGGCGGCGGCGGCCAAGCAGGAGGACGAGCCGAGCCGCGGCGCTGTGTCCGGCCGGCGAGTCTCGGCGCTGCCTCCCGCGCGGACTCGGCGGCCGGCCTCGGCCCTCGCCGGCCCGGGTGGCCGCAGCCCTCTGCGCCTCTCCCCGCGCGGCCCCTGCGCCAGACGGCCCGCCCCCGGGGCGCGCTCGCAGATCGAGGTAAGAGCCGCGGGAGCGAACAATGTGCCTCTGTGCCGGGCTGCGGAGACCTGTTTGCTTTGCGCCTTCCGCACGGGGGTGGATGCTGGAGGTGTAGGGAGCCGAAGGTGAGTTGGGGCTCCGCGGTTAAAGTTCGGCGGGGCCAAGAGGGAGAACGGCGTGGGCTCGGGCCACTCGCTCCCACCCCACTTCCCCCTCCTCGGAAATCAATCCGCAGAACTCCCCTTCCTGTCGAGCCTGCTGCCGCTTCGCCCTGCCAGTGTCGTGAAGTCCTCTTGGTTACAGCCTAGTTGCAGGGGGCCCCGGGGGGGACAGGGGAGTGTTTTTTGATTTACTGAGAGTCTGGGTCAGAAGGTGCTGTTCGCTCTTTAACAGCCTATCTGGGGAGGCAGAAAGTGGGGCGCGCTCCCCGCCGAAGGCCCGGCGGGGAGCTCGCCCCTGTCCCCCCCAGCCCCTCCTACTTGCAGATCCGTCCGGGGCTGTGAGTGGAGCCGGGAGGCCGAGCGCTGGGAGCGAGTTCGGGGCAAGTGGGCGGGGGGTGAGGGGCCGATGAGCTGAGTTGTTGTGGGTGGTTGTTGCTTTCTGTCGGTGGTTAGGTGGTGTGGAGAGGCGAGGATGACAGCAAAGCGCCGCCAGATGTGGCCAGGCCGGCACGGGGGCTGGCAACGATTAAGGGCGGCGGGGCCGGGCGGGCGGCGGGGCCGAGCACCCGGCGGGCCCCAGGGAGGCCAAGTGCCTCCCGCACCCGCAGTGAGAGGGCAGCAGCGGGCTGCGCTGGGCCTGCGGCCGAAGTTACGGGGTGTGGGCTTCTGGGCTTGGCGCAGGGGCTGCGAACTTCTGGAAGCCTGGTTTGTGGGACCAGGGTGCCGGGTGTGGAGCTGAGGGGGAAAAGGCGTGGGAGGGCCGCGAGGCAAGGGAGGACCCCCCCCCCCCAACTCTTAGCGCGCTTAAACGAGCGTGGGCTCTTTGCTTGGCTGGGGCCACCCGGCTCTTCTGCGGACAGGCGAGGGCGAGGGGAGAGACAGAAGCGCCTCAGCATTGGGGAGGCACTCCTGCAAGACTCCTTCGCTAGGGATCTAGAAAGTTTGTTCCTTTCGCCAAACTACGGGGCTTGGGTTAGGAGAAATCGTTGGAAGCTTTATTTTGTGCCAAGGCGGCAATGAGTGGCTGCTAAGGCACGGTTTTCTTTATCCCTAAATATTGTTTTAATCCCCTCCTCAGTCTGTCCTCTGAAAGCATAGTTGGAGGGACAAGCCCTGCTGTGTCCATCTCCTTTCCCCACCTTCTACGGACTCCTCCCCCCAACCCATCCTTTCCCCCTTCGCTGGCCCCCTCATTCCGTTCTTCCCGATGCAAACTGTTTTGTCTCAGATTCAGACCGAGGAAATGTTTTCCTCCTGTTTCTTGAAAGGTGTCAGGCTGCTTAGCAGCTTCTCCAAGCAGCCTGGGAGCGTCTGAGCCGCAGCCACCAACCATATGGTTCCCGTTACAAAGGCCAGGTTCTTAGGCACTCTCCTCCGCGCCCCGCCCCCAATTCTTAAATTTTCTTCTGCATTCTTTACGCGATGTGTACTTCTCTCTTTCAGAGGCGTACATTAACGGACATGGTTGGTCCATTCATTTTCCTGTCAATGTTTGTGTCTGGAACGGGCCCCACCGAGTTTGCTCTTTGCTCAACTCAAGAGTTACATACTGAGGAAAAGTCACATCCGTTTGGTAAATAATTGCCTGTTGGGATGGCTTTTATTAAATCAAGTTTGATCTTGGGCAGACCTTAAAAGATGGGCACCAAGGAGGCAATCTGCCTCCATAGCAGAAAAATAGAATGGTTTGTGTGGTGTCTTTGGCAACATTCTCAGTTGTGATGGGACTCTTGACCTAGGTAAAGGGGTAACTTTGTAACTTAAATTTAGTATCTTCGTAATACCTGAGAAACCCTTTATAAGAAAATATACTTCTGTTCAGGTGTGTTGTGGAACTTTTTGTAGTCCCTCGCCTCCACCCTCCAGTACGTTTATGCACGATAGAATGCTGCAGAACAAATGTTCTGTTGTTTAGTTTCTTCAGACATTCCGATTCTCTCCTTTTGTTGCTTGCTTCTAAAAGAGGTGCCATTTCACATCATTCTGCACAAATTGTTTGAATTAATGCAAGTGTGAATTCTTACCGTTTGAAGGGGACTATTAGCATATCAAAGGTTTCTTAGCTTCAGCTCAATTGAGAAAACTTCAGTCTGTCTTCCATTTGCTTCCAAGTGGAGGCCCAAAGGGCAATGAGAATTGTAAAGGGTAAAAATAGGGAGGTGGATTCAGGCTGTGTTTCTGAACTTTTACTGTTTTGTAATTATGTGAGCTAAAAACATTGTCTGTTGCTGTGGAGCCCTTGCAAATGGAAAGACAATTATTTTCCATTGATAAATGGTTTGTTCCTAGAAAAAGAGTGACCTTTTATTTTATGAGAGTCACTGTTGCCTGTCTTTTGGGGTCCCTTCAGTGGAAGAGAGAGTGAGAAAGCTTTTCCTGTTAACTTAATACTTTTCTAAGGTCTGCACTTTGTTATATTAGTAAAATGGCTGAAAAAGTCTTTTAATTAATGCATAAAGCGATAGAATCTTGTGATGAAAGGACACTCATTTGTATACTCAGGAAACTTTAATACACTTGCTAAATTTATAGGTAAAAAAAGTCCGTGGAGAGTTTTGAGTATTAAAAACAACATAAACTTGGTTAATGCAACTTATGTTGCAAGTATAAGTTTGAAAAAGATTTCCAAGTGATACTCAGATTTTTCATGAATTGTATATGGAAATAATTGCTTAAATATTGATTTGTTTTGTCTCAAATTTTTGTATTTTATTGAATAATAAGCTCTGGAAGTCAGCTTAGAGATTTTTCTTCATATGTATATAGCATATACTAATGGCTTTTTTTTGTCCTTGCAGAGAAATATGTTCTCTGAATTTCTTTAAACAACTCAATATCTGTGAATAAAGAAATAAATAACAGGTACTTAGGTCATTTGGGTTATTTTATGGCAAGCAGATGGGCCAACGGAGAACTATTATCTTCAACTTCTGGGGAAATATTGGTTTTATTTATTTAGCTTTAGATTTTCTAAAACCTCATTTTAGGATGAAAATGAATCTCAGGGATGCACATATCTCTTATAGTTCTACCTTTGATGGTTGGTTGATTTTTGAACATGAACTGATACCCCTTCATTAGAGGGGGCTTTTTTTTTTTTTAAAGGACGCATTCAGAAGTCCTTGTTTTCCTTTTAAAAGTGAAAATTAGTAAAAAGTTTTGGAGAGAAAAATAACCATTAATCACCTAATAGTGTAAGTCTTCAGTGAAATAGGATGATAGTTTTTCTTCAGATTAAGATGAAAACTTTTTTAGTGGCATTCAAATTATATATTATTACCCTGAAATCATTTTATGATAGTTTATTTATCTGATCTCTTCAGTTGTCTGAGAAGTACTTTCCTGGTAAAAAAGCCCACATTGATGTAATTGCTATTATTGCACTTAAGTTGCTGTTAACTAGCCTGCTTTGAATGCAGAGTGCTATAAAGAAAACACATTATCCTTTAAAGCTATTAGTGATAATCTAAAAATTGTCTTGAAAACATCGCTCTTCATTTTATATGATGGTGAAACTGAATTCAGCAAATCTCTAAAGGTGTAAAATGCAGTGAAAAGATTTTTCAACATTTAGATGACAAAATTGGACTACTTAGAGAAAAATTAATGTGTTGTAGAAGCACTTCAGCTGCCATTTTCAATCACTGAGTTACTATGTGTTGGCAACAGAAAACAAATTTAGAAATGCAGATAGCTCTGGGAGCAGGTAGTTGGGAAAATCAGAATATTGAATCATGTGGGGTAGAACAAACCAATTACTTGAGGTTTGGACTTGAAGATTTCCAATAAATATAATTTTTCCAGGCTTTTGATTCTCTGCTTTATTAATGGACTAATATTTAAAACAGACAAGAAAACTTCTAGATGTTATAGAAACTAGTATACATATACAGATCTCACATGGAGTACTCTAAGTCTTAATTTAAGGCAAACAGTTGGGGTTTTTATTGCTACAGTTTTCACAATGAGCAGAAACGTTAACACCAAGCTTCTGGGCGTTTCCTTTCTTACAATTAGTAAGAGGATCGCCTTAAAAAGCCAGGTTTACTTAGGGTTAGAACTTTGGTCATTATTTGAGCTTTGTGTGTTTTACTAAAATTTTTAAAATAATATTTTGTCTTAAGTAATATAGGAATATGTGAGTTAAGACAAATGTTGGAAAGGTCAGAAGATCACTAGAAGCACACCATAGTGATAAAATGTTATTGCTCTATTTTCTATCAAAATATTTATTTGACCTAACTTTTGTGAATAAATACTCAATAACACTGAGTTTACTGACAAGTGTAGTATGAAATGAAGAGAGTTTTACAGTCATTTTTTCAAGGAATGAGCCGAACCCTACCTGGTAGAAATCTGTTCTCGTGTTAATGAGAATCCATACCACTCGCACAGATTAACTGCACATAGATTAGTTTTGGAAATTTGAAGAATTTAGTGTCCTATAGGATTGCTATTTAAAAACAATAACTTTAGCTGCTAGACCTGAAAAGGACTTAAAATCCTGTTTTGGTCATATCAGTTACTAAGGTAATTTGTATAAGTATTAGTTCACATTACCTTAACAGATACAGGTTTTGTAACTATTTACAAGAAAGATTAGTTCACATTACCTTAACAGATACAGGTTTTGTAACTATTTGCAAGAAAGATGAAAGCATTTCTATTATAAAGATAGACTAAAATCGTAGCTTCGTTAAATCCTCTCTTATATAACACTAAATAGTCTGTAGCCCCACCCAAATATTCATCTCTTCAAATAATTCTTGATTGAAGGTTGAAAGATTGAAAAGTATTTGATCATCTGGATTACTATAATTAGACTTAATGTTATCAGAAAAATTGAAACTTATTGAAATCTTTTTGCTACCTAAGATTGGTGAAGTAGTGGTTATTATTATTTTTTAATGCTTTCAGAAAAAAGGTAAGGACATTTATTAATTTAGAGATAGTTACTACTTATTAGAATTATGGAATTAGAATATTAAAGTAATATCATTTTTCTTGACCTGATGTGATAACTTTTAAAGGAGTAACTGCAACTAGGATCTGATTCCTAAATTTTATTCAAGACTTCAATGTTGTATGTTAAGTTTAATATATAGGTTTTGTTAAATATATGTTATAAATTATGAGGGCTTCCCTGATGGTTCAGATGGTAAAGAATCCACCTGCAGTGCAGGAAACCTGAGTTCCATCCTTGGGTTGGGAAGATCCCCTGGAGAAGGGAATAGCTTACCCATTCCAGTATTCTTGCTTGGAGAATTCCTTGGACAGAGAAGCCTGCTGGGTTACAGTTGATGGGGCACCTAGGGGGTCATAGGGTCAGAAACAAATGAGCGACTGAGTATGCATGCACGCATAAATTATGAAAATCCCTTAAATGCTGTTTTGATGTAAGTAGGTATTTTTTAAGTGAATCCTGGTGTAATGTAAGAAAAAGTCCTAAATGACAAAAATTATTAAAAATTTTTTTAGGGTCATTTATCTGATGTACTAAATGTAGGCAATAATTTACACTTTCCAATAGATTCTTGCCAACAGTTTTTTAAAAGCTATTTTTACCAGAAAAATTCTCAGATTTTGTAAATAAAAATTATCTTCCAAAAAAGGTAGAGCAAATGAAGAAACCGCTTAACACCTGCAAGTAAAGTGCAGTTTATAGCAAAATGCTATTGATTGCTTTGGAAGCACAGAGCAAGTTTAAATACAGTTTGTTTAATTACAACAAAAATGCAGTTTTATAAAGTAATATAGTTTATCTTTGTAAAGGATTTTATGCATTGTGTGGTGGTAAGTAAAATCCCATCACAGTTGTATAAATTTGTTCAATTACCAGACGGCTAAAAGAAAAAAAAATCAATTTACTTTGAAAAGCAACAGAAATTAGATTACCTTGGTTAGTAGGAACTTGCCAGCACTGTCTAAATGGCTTAATGATATCAAAAGTTACCATGTTTCACAGTGTAAGAATATTGGCGCCTGTTTATATACACATACATCTTGTTTACTTGGGGACTTTTGTTATGGGAACATTTTTTCTGTTTGCTTTCCTTTTTTTTTTTAAATGGAAGCTATTCCATGACATTGTTGCTTTTCTGGATTTCTAGAATTTGTAATCCATTGATATTTCAACTCATTGTAGTGAAAAATCAGATGTAATTTTATGAATCAAAAGACACTTATCCATCAGTAGTGATAGCTAGGTTATTATCAGCCAAAGAAACACATAATTGAAATATTTAGTGACTCCAGAATTCTACTGAACTCTGAATCTTAAATTCTTGTAGCAGTAACATGGCATGGGATTCCCCCGAGCAGATAGCTCGGCACCTGTTTTGTTACCACCTGGGTTCATCCTGGCACCCAGACTTACTGAAGTGCAGGGACAGGCGCAACTGCTCTGCATGGCCACCCGGTTGTTTTTAGGTCATGATGTCAACTTCCTGGAATTTCTGGGGAAACCAGTTGAAAAGGGAGGACAAATGTCACTTTAAATAGAGATGTTTAAATCAGATTTCTGCCTGAGGGTAAAATTTAGGACTGTTTTAGCCTGGATGTAATGTCTCCCTC